TTCAGAGCTTTTGTTTGCCCTCTGCCACCGTCCTTTCACCGACTTGGCCCTGATTTGCCCCTTGTGCTCGATCACACCATTATACTGAGACAAGATAGCACAAAATATCCAAACATGTCTGCTATCCTTTTGTCTGGCCTGATTTGGGTTGGGGTGGCTCTGGTTTAGCGACTGAAGGAGGGTGTATTCTTGTTTTGAACACAAAGGTGAAATAATCTATAAAATAGTTCCTCTTTAAGGAGCGCTGTTAGCCCAGTTTGAGTTTTATTTCAGAAAAAATGCCTTAAAGTCTGTCTAAGGATATGTATAAAATAAGATTTAACCGTCTTCGCTGTAGGTGTGAGCTTTCCATCAGACAGGAGTAAGACTTACCCGAGGAAGTGCTTAAACTGTTGCAGACAGGAACAATGGCAGACAAAAGGTCATCGCGAGAATCCACTACTGCTGGCGGTAGCCACAAGGCAGCGACCTCGCTTCCACCTTAATGCCCTCCCACACACACACAAACACGGACACACTCTGACTAACAGAGCGCCCCTGCTTCCCCATCTCCCTCCCAGCCATCCAGGTGATCCGCTTGGCTCACATTCATGAGACAGGGAGCGAGCGCGAGCAGTTATCGTCCAATAGGGAGAATGTCCTGGCTCATTATCAGCGTAGGAGGCCGAGCGTGTCACCTGGAGCTAAGCCTCGACACTTGACTAAAAAGTCAGCCGGGGTTAGCGTGAGAGCGCGAACGTGGGTGTTAGTCATTCTCCCCGCAGCGATCACCTCCACCGTTGGCCTGCCGAACAGTAAGAGCTCTTTTTCCTCTCTGGCTCGGAGACTCCAGCAGGAAGGGCTTTTAGCGCAGCCTCCTCTGGGCACCTGATGACTACTTTGGGATTGTTAAATAAATGTGATTATACCTGTTAGCATTGTGAAGTGGTTTTTCTTGGCAGAACGCAAGTGGAACACCTCTGAACTCGGGCTTTAGAGCATAGGAGGGTGGATTTTATGGCATAGAGTAACCTAATGTACTTGGGCATTGAAGAGAAATGTTCTTGATTTGTTGTAACCCAGCTTCATTTAACTTGATGCTACAATCAGATATCTGATATTTAAGGAAGCAGAAACAAGTTTTGATGCTTAAAATGAGGCACAGATATGGGTTTGCATGATTTTAAGAGTTAGATTTAACGACTAATGACCCAAAATACAGCTCTGAACCTATTTGCAACCTTGTAGACAATCATATCTCATTTTTTGCTTTTATTAAATTAGAAAATAATTTAATGATTTAAAAGAAAATAATCATTCCATCTGACATACAATAAAAGTTGTTTACCTTTTACCAAAAAAGTCAATTTCCAGCCCAAAGTCTAAGTCATCAAAGAGTTAATGTGTCGCTACAACCTGATTTCTATTATTTAAGGAGCCCAAACCACTTTTCTATGTTAAAAATAGGCCAAATGTAGGATTTGGGTGATTTTAGGGGTTAGGTTTAAGTACTTAGACACTAATGTATTTTTTGTGATGAAGTCACAATTAAACGTAAGCTCCTTTTTTGACTTTTTATTCTGTGTCAAGCACGCTCGGCTTGTACAGACTTATCATATATGCAAAAGTTTTCCGACAAACAGATGCGTGCGGTCAACATCAAAGACGCAAGTTGGTAGCTGCCTATTCCTCCAAGTGACTTTGGGCATCTTTGAACGCAGCATGTGGCCTGACAACTGTTATCTTTGGTGGGGTTTTTTCTTTCTTTTTTGTGTGCAGGAGTCAATTGTGATTCCAACATTAAAAGCGTGTTTTGATCACTGGAGCTACTCGTTCCCTGTCAAACCTGAAGCTTTGTAAATACAATCATGTTAGAGTTGGACTAAATTAATTCCACGGGCTTCTCTGTGTCTGCAGAGTGCAACTGTCACAGCTGAAGAATTGCCTGCGCCATTGTTTTTTTTTTTCTTCCTCCCTGACTTTATCAAAGAAATGATGAGATTTTAATAAGACTTTGTCCCTTTGCACTCTTGATTTTTTTCTCAGGCTGTCATTGCTGATGCTTCCAGCCGTACTAATCAATATTAGTCCTCACTCTGTACTTTTTTTGTGAGTGACAGAATAATGCTGGGACTGTGAAAGGGTTATGTCAGATAGCTTAAAACCTGATATTAAACAAGAATTGCGCTGCTACACATGTCACTTTAATTATCAACAAAAACGCAAGTCGAAGAACCCCCCCCCCCCCCAATTTACCTTAAGAGGAGTAGAAGAAAGCAAACAGGTAGCGGCAACAGTTTGCGAAACGTCGTTCATAATTGCTTTTGTCAAGGATGACACTTAAGGTAAGAAAAGGAGAGAAGAGGAGAGGCACTGGAGAAGTAAACACTATCTTTTCTTTGTCTTTCGCTCTCCTCGGCAACACAAAAGACTGATTAAGAGTGAGGTTCGGGGAGGGGGATGAAATAACTGCCTGCGAAATATTAGTAGGTTAGAATTACTTTGTTGCTTGACACAATACCAATAGATGCTTCATGCTCAGAGAGGGAGAGGCTCTTGTCAGCAGTGGCACCTAAACAATGGCAGCTTTCTTGACGTTAATACTGCGCGTTTGACTTGACGAGCACCCCACTGTCATTTTGCCTTCTTGGAGGTATACGTTGAATGCGGAGGAGACAGCTGACGTTCGGGGAAGATTGCATCCACGGAGACAGTTCAACGCCCCCGTGTTTAAATTTGTTCAGAAACTTGAGGACAAGACGTCACGAGAGATAAGAAAAAGCAGCAGGAGACATAAACTGGTGTCAAAAATAAAAAAGAAAGCTCCTCTCTCTTTTTTTTTCTTTTTCTTTTGCTTTACTTTGAGGTCCGGTGTTCTCAGTCCTGCCCTGAAAAGTTTGCTCCGCTCCCTCATTCCTTATGTGGGAAGTCAGAACGGTGTGCATTGCTGCGGTGGATGTGTTGCTAAACAAAAAGAAGCTCCCTAGCTCCTTTTATTAGGGAAGAATAGGCCCTTTAAAACCTGTCCAGCCTTAGATAATTTCATTCAGCCGGCCCCTGCCCGGCCGTCATTGAATCTGCATCCAGAGATCAGGTTCACAGCAACGGGTTGATAGCTTCCCAAGCCTCTTGGCCTTTTGTTCTACCAATCCTGTGCTGCTGCCCCCTCCTCGGCAAGCTGGGGAGGAGGGGGATACAGAGCTGATGGGACATTGCTGAGGAAAGTTCAAAACTTCAGGGGTGAAGGGGCGCAGAGAGGTGAATTCCAACAATTTTTAAGTTAAGAGATTTCTAAGTCTGGCTAACTTTCATCTCATTCAGACGTCTAGACGTTTGACAGGTAGAGACGGCTCTCTTTCAATCCAACCTTTCAAATAAAAGCACAATATCAATTGTACCAAGGTGGATGTGGACCACCCAGGAACTCCTAACGTCTCTCTCCACTCGTGGGTCTCCTGCCTCGGTTGCCTTTTTTGTCGTCCCCAAGGAGCATTACTGAGTCTGAACTTGCCTAAACCCTTGTGATCACACCTCTTGAAAAGGTTTTGTTTCCTCCGTCGATTGGTATTCGAGGCAGGTCACCGCACTCCCACCCTCCTCCTCGTCCTCCTCCTCATCTCCTCCCCCACTTTCTGCCTGCCTGCCACCCCTGCCCACCACCCCCAACTGCCTCCCCTCCCACGTTTGAAAGCCCTGTTTTCATTTTAATTTGCACCTGTTGTGCAGTTGTTCGCTGAAGGCAAGTGCAGACCAGTCAATCGCACAGAGACGTGTCAGAAGGAGATGTGGGGAGGCTTATCTTTTGATATGTATAACGTTTTCAGAAATGCCGTGCATGAACTTCATCTGGTTGGCACTCCTGATTCTCAGAGAGTTCAAGAGGCAGGGACACTTGTAGCTATAACTTTGGCATAAAAACCGCCTTAATTAAGCTTGTTCATTCCTCGCAGGGTCACAATGTGAGGAGTTCTGCATATTTTCCACAAACAAGATATAAATCTATTGATTTTCACCGAAGCTCTGCTGACTTGTGGGCTCACTAAGGCTTTTTTTATGACTCGGAAACATAAATTCAACAAAAGCCTCCACCTCTTCACTTCGGTGGCTCAGACTCTGGGCCCTCCCATGATTGGCTCTCACCACAGAACATTTTTGCACAAGCTGCCAATGAGGTGTGTCCCCATGTGATGCCATCCATCTGCACTGCTCCAATAAGTCCTCTGACGTCCCTTTTCTGCAGTGATTTACGCCGTGGCGCGTACTCGCTGAGAACCAGCCGATGGTGGTGACTAATTTGCACGAGAGCCACCTTTGATTGAGTTCACAGCCCTTATTTACAGGCCGTCTATTTTAAGAAATGCAGGCATATGTCTGGGACCTGGGTGTTGTGGAACTGGGCGAGCCCTGCTGTTGGAGTTTTGAATGTGTGTGTGTGTATGTGCCTAAAGGCGCTGCCATGCTTTTATATTTTAATATGTTAGGAAACATTTATATTAATGTTCATGGTTCACTGGCAATGCAAATGTGAAGACATCCGAGGGCTACATGCAGTGAATAATCTAAATCACTATAGGTTAAGCCTTTTGTATGCATAGCAACAACAGTTGTAATATTGTACGTGCTATGTGGAGCATCTCAAATGTGAGCGGTATGCTCCGGAGCAGAGCCATCCTGAAAGGTGCAGCTCGTTGGCATCCAAGGCATGTGAGCACGGCTGAAAATTAGTGGCTATTTTGGCTCGTATCTCCTCGACAGCTGTCTGCCCACCGCTGTGGTTTAGTCACAAATTCCAGCCATGGATGCTGTAATTGGGGTGTAACCCACCAAAAGAAAAAGGGGCCTACGCCTTGCATTGAGCAGTAATGTGGGGTTATCCTTTTAATCTGCGGATAGACCTCAGTTTTCCAAAACTGGTCTAAATCCCTCGTCAGATTCATCTGTCCACAAGAAGTTGTAGAGAACTGCATTATTTCTCCGCCGTGCTTTCCTGTACTGACCAAATTTGTTCTTCCTTTGTATCACAGCTCTCAACTACGAGAATGTGGTGGAGACCGGATCAGAGACGGAGGAGGAAGACAAGCTGCCAGTGTCTGAGGAAGACCCTCTGATCAACGGAACCGGCAGCCCGGCCAGCCTCACCAACCCTGAGGTCTCGCCACGTATCGAGGGACACGGCCTGCTGAACAAGGACGACGATGACGACGAGATGAGGGACAGCGGCGTGGAGCACATTTGGCCCGACAATGACATGCTGAGTGCTTCCGTGGACGGTACTGGTGAGTGTAGAACAAGTAAATTCAGTCATGTCAACTGTAGGAGTTTGGTAATAGTTGGGTTGCAAAGCAGCTTGCACAGGCAACCTTAATGGGACACTTTAAAATGAGCCTTGGCAGTTGTCAGATGTGTAGAATGGCATCAGCTTGATGTCGTGATCGCGGATAAGCTCTGTGACTTCCCAAAGTAACTCTGTGCTGGATTTTTCTTGAGCTTGTAAAGCTGGCAAAACGGCAAATTGATGATTTCCTAATTAAATTCTGCTTGGCTTTCAGTCTAGGTTTTGTTGACTAGAACAGTTGTGGATCTGCCCACTGAGGTTCCTAAACAGGCAGCAATCTGTTGCCTGAAATGACAAAGAAAACATATGGGGGTGTTTATTCCAAACTCGGATATCCACTATTTGAGAAACGTGACCTGCACTATTAGAAATATCAGAAGATGATAGAAGAATATATTTTAAATCATGCAAACATCCATGTTCTTTTAACCCTTTGCGGTTTAAGTTCTTATAGGCGGTAACACTAACACCTTCCCTACCCTCAGCCTATGTTTTGGGCTTTTTTGTAGAAGAAATGTTAAGTTTGGTTGATTTTGGTCAATTGGGATGGTTATTTTCTTTGTACCCTGATTGCCAAGACTTAATAAAGCAAAAATTAGATTTTAGATTTTTTTAGGTTTCGAGTTAGGGTTGGGGTTGGGAAGATTTAGAACCATAAGAACTCTTGGCTTTTCTTACCAGATGTGTGGGGTTCAGGTGAGCTGTCAGTCAGAAAAACTACCACTAAGCTCACTCATGGATACTCTATAGTGAATGTGTGCTCATCCTGCCACTTGTGGTATCATCTTATGCTGTAAACCCCACCCATCTGGTGCCCGAGCAGACTTAAACAAACGCCACGGAGCGTTTTGCAAACAATGCTTGAGCCAGGTCTGACGGTGAAGCCCCGATGACGCTCCCTCAGCAGACAGACATGATAAACAGTTTCTCTGTGAGCGGCAGAGACCATTTGGTTCACGCTTAGAGAAAAGCCAAACAACAAAAAAATATTTACAGTAATGTATAAAGAGGAGGTGGAGTGGGAAAGAAGCCTGTGCGCTGCAGGAAATGAAATCTTAGCGTGTTTTTATGGTGTTTCAGCAACGTCCAGCAGTGACTGATGCTGCTTAATTCGTCTCGCCCCTAACAAGCTGCCTAATCCCAGGCAGGTGATACCTACCCCAACTTGACTGACTTATTGTCTTTTGTTTGAGCAACTCCTTCTGCAGGGGCCCCAGTCACAGATGCTTGAAAGATAAATACTTTTAATTAGGGGGCAGGGTATAATCATTAAAGGAAGCCAGACTGCTGCAAAAAGTCATTAACAATCTTAAATGAAATTTTTATTTTTATGATAGCCATTTACATGTATAATAAGAGTCAATGATTCTTGGAAGCATGTGACAGGAACAGAGTATGGCGAGAAGTCATGTAAGACAGCCCATTTAAATGAGCTGGGCTTTGCTATTCATTTCTGCTAATGAACTAGCTGTGCACAGTGCCGAAAAACGGGGGAACATTCAGCAGTCTTAAATTTTAATATGGGGGAAAATTGCACATTTATTAGGGATAAGGGGGGGAAAAACTTAGCGGGTATCAACTTTCACTTCTCCTAAATAACCGTTCATATTGCCTCCTTAAGGGGTGGAAGAAAGAAAAGACAGTTTGGTAAATAAATCAAGATAAAGGATAAACAAGCTGTCATTGCACACGGTAATTGTTTATTTGATAAAGACCTGCGGTGCCATAATGTCTGTAATTCAACTATGTTGCAATTCCCAGATAATATGCTTCTTGTGTGATAAAGCGTCTGACATATTTCGGAGAGCAAGTCAAGTTCATTAGAGCGTTTGGGAGTCTCTTTCCCAATCTTGCGGGTGCTGTGTTTCCCAGCCTGCCTTTTTCTTTTTTTTTTTTTTTTAACATCCGCGGTGCCTAAGTGTCTACAGTGATACCTCAGCACATAACTCAGGCCTGAGATAAGTTAGCACCCTCCCTCCTTCCTACTCGGACTGATTTGGTCGTCACTCCCCTATCGAGAGTTTTTGCACAGGTCTTGGAAGCGTGATTGAATGAAGGTCCTGGGAAGGGTTGGGAATATTCGAGCCAAATAGAAACTGTACGGGGCAAAAACAGCCGAGGTGACTCTCCCAGACACAACTACAGCATGTAAGAAAGAAAAAGTTTATCGCAGAGCCTCGTCTGATTCCACCGCACAATCAGAGTCTTGTGTCTGGCATTGTCCTTGACATTCCTTAATCCCACAGTGAGGCTGGACACGATGTGCTGGAAAGCATGACATCATTATCACTGACAGGCGTTTTCAAATAAATCACCTGTCTTCCCCCCATTGCCCTTTTTAAACCCCTTCTCCCAGCCGTCGGTGGGGGGGCAGGGGGATTTCTCACAGCAGCGCTGTTTGCTTCATGTTTGTGTTGTTTGCAAACAAAACAAAACGAAAATATATATTTTTTTAGCCAAATTTGGCCTTCTGTTTTCGATCAAACAGTGGTTCTTGTTTTCTTTGCACATCTATCGAGTTGTGCAGTTATTAATTTGTCATTTAAACACCTACTGCAGTCCAGGACTTTCCCATAGCGTTTTAGATGCCTATCCATCCTGCCAAGAATAAAATTCAGAGGAAAACACTGTGTTCTTTGGCTGCTAAATGCTCAATTTTGAAGCGATGGAACAGAGTATCTGCCATTGACAAGTCTAAAAATATCCCATTTTGCATTAGCCTTCTAAAACCTTTAATCCTGCCACTTTTGTTTTGTTTCCGAGATTCAGAACTATTAGGCGCTTGACTCAAACATGACAGATTCAGGATAAATGAGGCTAAATGCACAAAGGCAGAACTTTAAAGCGCCTGTGACTGCGGTGACCAGCCATAAAAACAGGAATGTTTTCAAAATAAACAGCATCTGAGCTGCTATGAAAATAGGTGGAATTACAGTCGGGCCAAAGGTAGTCTGGACTCCTCCTGAGTCCAGAGTCGGCTCTCAAACCTCAACATCACTCTTCAAGGAGGTGTGTACCTTACCGCCTCAGGTCTTCAGTGATTTACTGCTAACAAAACACACTTTTCCACCATTTAGCGGACACTTTCATCCAAGACGCTTTCCATGACCAAGAATAGGCACATATTTGTGGTATAAGTGGATCCAGCAGAAATCAGATGCCTCTCTTCTTTTGCTTTTCTGACATTACTTGCAGTTTTTGTTTTCATAATGTAACATTTTTAAGCTCCCTTTCAAGGATAAACTCACTTTTCTAAGAATTCTTCTCTAAACAGAAGCTAATAACACTAATGTTGGACGTTTTTATTAGTTTAAGGCAGCAATTCCCAGCCAATGACACTAATCATAATTCCCATCCATTGCCAAGGGCGTGTTTCTATATTCTGTGCCCAGCCCAGCTAATATGAAAAACGAGAAAATACAGTTTATTTTACAAACTAAATATAATTGAACTGGCTAGCTTATTAGCTTTGCTAATAATATAGCTAACAGTTAGCTTAAATTGTGGACAATAGTTGAAATAGGTAGCTAAAATTAAGAATTTACAGACAATGATTTTTTTTAGTAAAAGTATAAATAACAATTGAAATAAAGACTTAAAATTATGAATAGAGAAATGAAGATTTTAAAGCTGCCAGGGTATTAGAAATATAGATAACTGTTTGAAATAGCTAAGAGACTTAAAGATATTTTCATGGTTTTAGTCCAGTTTGGCCCATAATTTCTTTGGATATACACTTAAAACAGTGAACTAAAATTGCAAATTTTGGTTGGAAATAAATTTGGAAATTCTTTATTTAACAGTATGGCTAGCAGTCACTTTGAATTGCAAGCTAAAAATGTGGATTAACAAATGAAATAGCTAGACAACAACATGGAGTAACAGTTATTACTGATCCCTGTCATGTCGGGGGAAAAAGCACAACTTAACATAATGATTAAATTGTTATAAATACATCGCTAAATAGAATAAAAAGGCATTACACTCAATGTAATGCCTTTTTAGTACCAGTTTTAAAACAAGGAAACTAATTTGAGTCTCTCTGAGAGAGGGTTGTGCGATATGTAAACAGAAAAAGTTAAAAAGAGCAATGAGCCACTGTCACTCACTGCAATGGCACTTTGGCCCATTTGAATGTAGCTCAGCACTGGCATGGATCTATGTATTTAAGTGTCCCAGAGGCCATAGCAGAGAGGTGTATGTGGTGTTAGTCTACCTCCTACTGGAAGCAGCCGTCCCTCCCTTTAGACCACAGATAACAAAAGTTCTCCAAGGTAAATAGGGGAGAGTGAAGGGCCAGTAAATCCCACTGGTCATCCCCTTGCGTCAGACTAAAAGTATGCAGTCAAATTTGATTACCCAACGCAAACACGGTGCCTACGAGGACACAGAAATGTGAGGGAGTTTTAAGCACAAAAGGGTGGACGGGGTGGGGGGAGGCTTTTCTACATTCTGATATCTGATACTTGTGGGTATATTTTAATCTGTGGTGGAAGTATTTTTTTAAATCTGTTTTGTTTTGTTGTAGCTTTAATTTATGTTCTTTAAAACCCATTTATTTTCCCATAGTGCGACTGTGGTTTTGATGCTGTTTGGCAGACGTGCAATCAAATGTACAGCATGGGGAAAGTTAAACTAGGACATACCCCTGCAGAAGAGTCTGTCATTATTCTCTGAAGCCATTGACAGGGGTATTTATCATTTCACCGCAGAAGCCAAATCTCTAATTTCAAGCAAACCCGAATTGCAAGCCTTAGAAAGCATTCCACAACGATCAAGCCCATTGTTTCCAACTCCAAATAAAAACTCTTTTTGCTTCTGGCTTTTGTGCAAAGCAATGTAAGCAGGATAACATTATTATCAACAACACACCCACCACCTTTCCTGTATTATCTGAGCCAGGTTGCTCTTATGTAGGCGCTCATCCTGTTTTAATAGCCAAGGGATAGTCCGATACATCGGATCCTGCTGTCATCTGGGAAAAAAAATTAAAAATGCTCACAATGCAACGCTTGTAACCTCCTTGCAGGAGCAGCAGAGCAAGAACAGATGCGTGAAAAGAAGACAATGCAGGTTTTTTGTTCTTGTTTTTTATTTTAAGACAAAGGCCTCATGTTCTCGGAAGCACCTTGATTTAATTTTTACTGACGAGGCAGGAAGGAGGGACCAGGGACTTCTTAAGCTGATTGTCAAGTCTCTGTCCTCCTGTCGACCGTGAGGTGGAGGTGGAAAAGAGGGTTTGTTTATGAGCTTGTCAATCCACCCTTTATTTACTGTCGCCTCACCTGTGCCAGGGCAATATCTCCCCGTCTGCACAGACCGGGAGCCATTATCCTGATTGGCAGTAAGAACTTGTCCTGCTTAAACCAACATTTCTCCGAGGAAGGGTTTCTTTGAGATGAAGGAATAATCTGAATAGCTGAGGTCAGGCTTGAGTAGGTGGAGCCAAAAAAGGAAAGCCACAGATTCTTAGAGCCTAAAATCTAGCCAGAGACTGAGGAATATTGCTTGATAACTTTCAAATAAAAGGCTTTTATGAAAGGCTTTCAATCAAGATAGGTTGCTGTAGAATAAGGAATATTCAAAGGCCTGTAAGGCCTGGAAAAGTGGTAAATAGGGCAGATCAAATGTGTGTCTTTTTTTTGGTTAAAAATGCACTTTCCCCTTCAGTATCGTGTGTGCGAGGCTTTGAAATAATAGTTTCCGCCTGTTTTACATGTTTTTCTGTATTGTCGGGCTTCATACCTCACCAGAAAACATTAATTTATTTATTTTCTGACTCCACCCACCTGAGGTTTACCCCAACCAATGAGGTTATTTCTGCCCGGGAGAAATGTTTGTGCAACTAAAACTCTTAATTTGTGGTTAAGGGTTGTATTCCTTTTAGTTTCGGAGCAAGGCACTACTAAGTCTCTGCCAGGGCTTGTGGTGAATCACAAAAATGTGCGCGCTCACAATACTCCAAGCTGCTTTGGATAAAAGCATCCACCAAAATGACATATGATAAAAAACAAGCGTGATCCTGCATGCAGCGGATTGCAGCGGCGTCACAGCCGGGGAGTAATAAGCTCAGCCTGCGTGTTGGCTGGAGCTCTATGATTGCTCAGGTGGATGTGTTCCGTGTTGTATTTAATCGCTCTGTTTGGCGATTGAAGCTTTCTTCGCCTCCCCCGCCGCTTGTTGTCACGTTAAAGGTAAATAAGTCTCTGTCTGGCTCAGATGATAGCATTCATTAAGCATGCTGAATAAAGCCGTGGTGCACTGCGATGCACAGCGGTGCCTTTATTGGTTTCACCATACCTTCTTCTTAAAGGCCTCATTGTCAGCGTTTGTCAGCGTGCATGGTACATCGAGGTACTCACCCTCCCTTCTCTGCTTTTTCTTCTTGTTCTGTTTTTGTGCAGATGAAATAAAAGATGATTTTGACACCCTGGGGCCTGATACCACTTTGCAGACAGTTGGAAACGGTACAGGTGAGTTCAGATATTTGCTGTATGTGTGTCAAACCTTTCATATTAAGCCATTCTTGTCTGGTGCCTTACGTGCATGTTTCTTTGTCAGTCTGCAAGTCTTTAAGGTCTGACAACCCTATCGTTGATGATTAGTACTCTAACCTATTGGAACAAATAAACATAATAATGGAAGTCCTTTGTTTTTAACTCCGAAATATAGGGTAAGGGTTCTCTACCTCTACGTCAAGGATTGGATATTTTAGTTTTCTTTCTCTTACTGTCTTTTACCATCTTTACATCTAGCAGGTCATGTTAAGAGGTTAAAAACTTACTTCCAGCAGCTCAGCTGCAACTTGTAGGACCTCGTAGATGTTAAGAGCTTCTCAAACTGAAAGTGAACTGTTCAACATGACCATTTCACGCCCAACACTGGGTTCAAATTCAGCTAAAGTTGTACATTTTAAAGACCCCAAACTACCGACTACTGATCTAGTGTTAGGCTAAGCATATGTTTGTAGTTTCTAGTTTATGAAAAATTGACTATTTAGTAAGTGATTGAAACTAAACAAATCCCTCCTTCTTAGATGTCTTGCTAGTGACCTGGTGGATGTTAAGAGGTTAGAAGGTCTTTGATGTGCCATCAGGCTGAATGTGGCTTGTTTCAGTGGGGTTGGATTTCAGCTAATATCCAGCCCTTTGATGGCACTTCTGCCTGTTTTAGATACTCAGTTGGATAATCTCAAAAAAGAAGAACTGTAATGCCAAAATGTATGTAAGACATTTGATTAATTTGAAGGGTCACTAGTTTGTAATTCTAACCTTAACGGTTTATTGATAACCTGCTGAAGACTGATGGGGTCAAAATGACTAATTCCAAGTCAAAACTGGGTTTAAAACTAGACTAAATTTGGCTGTAACATAAAAGGTTGTAATAGTTATAACCACTAAACCACAGAACCTGAATCTCTTAAGATCTACCAGGTCACTGCCAACTGATCTAGAGCTAGAGTTATGGGTTTCCAATTTGTGAAAATTTGCCTAATTAACATGTGGATAAAAGAAAAATCAAACCTAAATGGGTTGCTGGTGGCCTGGTGAATGTTAATAAGTTAATACAGGCCTTTTTAGCTTTTTGCAGTCCCTGGAGGAGTTCCTGAACAGAACAAAGCAAACATATCCACAAACTGCGCGCTGTAATTAAAAGGAAATCTTCCTCTGCTGACTCAGTGATCACTGAGGCAATCCCGTGTATGTTTATAGGCAGCTGAAGTGATTTTGATTTTAATAACCATTGATTACACATGCTACTTTCAGCTTTCCCAGTTAGCTAAGTGTTTCTTCTGGTGGAGTCGAACACGATCTGCCATTTTTCATTAAGCCACCAAAGCTGATTTGTCGCCACATACCCTCCCTTCCATGATATCATCCTGGCCACCCTGACAATTGGCCTCGGACGCCGTTATGGTAAACCGAACTCGCCCCGCAGAACACCATGCAGCCCTGAATCAAAATCCTCCCTTCAGCTTTAATTACCGTTACTTTCTGCTGGTGTTTTCCTCTTCGCTTTCTTTTCTCCTCTCCCCTTCTTCATGTTCTGGAAATTCAAGCCCAGCAAATGTTTTCCATTTAAAGGACTTTTGGAAACAATACTGTGGCACCGCTGTGGAAGCTCCCCGCCACTAGATCACATGTGATTTCATTTAAAGACATGAGCAGTTTGATCACGTCCCCCGATGCCAAAGCACACTTTGATCCAGGTGATTTCCTCGTCCGTTGGAAAGAAAGCTGGTCGTTTTCTCCTTAAAGAAACACTTTGCATGTATGTTTTTTCATCCAGAATATGTCCTCATTTTATTATTCCTGACGATAGAAGCTTGGTCGCTTGCATCAGCTGAATGTTAAAGTAAACCATGTTTCATTACCCTGAAGCTTTTCAGCTTTAAGTCCAGGAACTGCTTGCACTGAGCCGCACCCAGTCAATCATCAGTCAATCATCACAATTAGCTTAGCACTTCCTCCAAAGCTACAAAGAATCATCTAATGAGAAGACTGAGAATTATGCCATCACGGTTATCAAAAGCGATCCATTGGCACCGATGACATTTCGGTGCCATTTTTGACATCCAAATATGTACTACCTTGACCTTTCGCAAATTGGCCTGCAAAGTCATCACGGTCTAACAAATCGCTCTTTAAACTTCACCTTGGCTCGCAGTCTAAAAGCCTAATTAACGGGGGTGAAGTCTGATGAGATGTCACTTGGTTGTTTTTGTTTTGTGAGGATTTTTAAAAAAATATATATTTTTGGTCACCAAACATCCTCCAGGATCTCTCCAGGTTGTAAACAGTATGTGTGCGCGCGTACGTGTGATGTTTTGAAAGTCGGCCATCCCCTTGACTAATGAAGGCTGCTGATTTTCTTTTTGCTCCGGTTTGTTGTTTAGGAGGCAGCTATCTCCACGCTGCAGCTTAAGAGTTTCCCTGAAGAGAAGGGACTGGGAAATAATTTGAGAAAATGCATTGTGTGGCCTCAGCACTTTGGTTGGCTTAAGATTCATTCAGCTCAGCTATGGCAAAGCATGCCCCCCGCCCCCACCCCCCACACTCTCTCTCCTCTCTCGCCCTTTTTTCCCCTTTTTTTCTTCTCTTTTTGTGGTTTGGCCCTGGTAATCTGTTCAACACAGAATCAACAAAAGCCACAGCCTCTTGATTGACCTTATATGTGAAAGTCGATACTGAGAAACGTGGCTCTGTTGCTGATTAAACCAGGCTTGTCTGTATGTGTATGTATATGAGGCTCTTTTTTTAAAAAATTATTTGAGTAAATTAGGTCAGTGAAGGTTTTTTCAAGGCTCATGGTAGCACCTTTATCTCCCGACTTTTGTTCGGATTAAGTTACAGTTCTTGTTTTAGCCGACGTGGCGTGACAAGCAAGCCCAGTAATTTAGATGCATTCTCCCCAAAGCACGGCTGTAATGTTTTAGGGTGGCTATCCTCATCACATTTCCACCAAGATGTTCCCAATATCCTCCTGTAAGACATTTCTCTGGGGACGAAGGGAATCCAATTTATTCCTCTCGCCTCCCCCCCACCCTCCTGTCCTCAGTCTCCTCCTTCACAATCTCCATCTCTCTCTCTTCCTCTCTGTCACTTCAGTCAAGAGCGTCGATTGCACTTCAGAGTTGGAGGACTTCTTTGCCAAGCGGAAGCTGGATGACAGCGACAGCCACGTGGTGAGCATCGCCGAGTACCTGCAGCGGGGTGACACCGCCATCATCTACCCGGAAGCCCCCGAGGAGCTGTCCCGCCTGGGCACACCGGAAGCCACTGGACCGGAGGAGAACGGTACGGGTCCTGTCCAAGGGTTTGTAGGAAGGATCTGGGTCGAAAGATTAGGGTGAGAGGAAGGAAACAAGACAAGATGTAACCCAGAACAGCTATGACTCAGAAAATATTGGGAATTGATGCTAAGTTTGACCTAATTTTGATAACCTATCTATGGTTCCCTGTGTTAAGGAAGAGTTACAGGTAGGTTTAACCTCTCAGAGTCAGGGTTAGGGTTATTTTTAGTCACGTGTTAAAAGAAAGTAAAGTCTAAGTCATTGGGGTCATTGGCACTGACCCAACCCGAACCCTAACCTATCAGAATTTGTCATTATGTTTTTTTAATTGTTCTTCCAAATGTTCACAATCATGGGATACCAAAAAGGATCCTTCTAGATGGCAAGCATCAAATCTATTAAAGTTTTTTTCCTCTAAAATATAAGTAGGTTTAGGGTTAGACCTCACAGGGCTAAACAGGCATATTTTCAGGAAGGATAATATGATATCTTTCAAATTAAGCCTCATGCATTTGTTCTGGCATCATAGTTTTTCAGTTCAAGGTTGTCCAAGTAGACAAAACCTAACCCAAACCCTGCTCTTAACTCTAGATGTGTTGCCAGCAGCTTGGTGGATGTTTTTTGCAGAAAGACACCCACAATAACCTTTAAACTTGAAGAATGTCTTAAAACGTTCTTTAAACCGATGCATTTAAAAACCTTTCCTATTACTCCAGACCATTTTAAAGGATATCCAGCCTTAAATGTGCCTACTCTTATAGCATAACTGCTGCAGTAACTGAGGGTGCTTGCTCAGCTAATGTCCTGGCAAATGTTAAAAAAAAAAAGAAAAGAAAGGGGGAGAAAAAGTCTTCTCGCTGACACGACCGGGCAGCTGTTGGTCCCACAGATTCGCCGGATGCCTGGGTGTTTACCTACAGTCTTAAGCAACAGCTGGGCAGGGGCTTGAAATCAGATAGCACACCTCCGAAGCTCCCCGGAGGGAAAGAATTGGAAGAGGGGGGCTTGAATTTGAGCGGGATTGTGATTCACGCTACAGACACTATGAACGTGCCAGTGGTGGTGGTTAGGTGTGGGGGGACTAGAAAATGAGGGCTGTTTAAAGAAATTCGGACTGTCTGTGGAATAGTGTGTGCATCCAGTACCGTGTACGTGTTTGTAACTATGTGGAGGAAAGTGAGAACGAGTGGGAGTGCTGTGTGTGAGTCGGGAGGAGGTCATAGTGCAGCGGATGCCAGCCTGACACTGTGACTCTCATGTGGAGCAGATTGCAGAGATAACTCCCATACCACTCTGGGCAGCCCGCCCGTTAGTTGCCATTGATTCGCTGACCTTTTGGCCCGCTTTCCTTTCCCCTTCCTCCTCCCTCCTTCTCCTCCTCCCGCTGTCTCCTGTGCAGACCTGCCACCTGGAACGCCAGATGCCTTCGCCCAACTGTTGACCTGCCCCTACTGCGACCGGGGCTACAAGCGTTTGACATCGCTAAAGGAGCACATCAAGTACCGCCATGAGAAGAACGAGGAGAACTTCGCCTGCCCCCTGTGCAACTACACGTTTGCTTACCGCACTCAGCTTGAGCGGCATATGGCCACACACAAGCCTGCAAGGGATCAGGTGAGGGGGATATTCTTTCTTTTTTCTCCTTCTTCTTCCTCATCCCATCCCCTTCTTCCTGTTTTTCCCTCCTTCCTTTTCCTCCTCTGCCTGTCCCCTGTTTCATTTCATTTCTAATGTGCCCCGATCCCTCAGAGAAGGGAGATCATTTTTTCTGATTGGCAATCATTATTAATTTTTCATGGCATTTTGAAGATGCAGATCCTTTAATGGTAATAACTTTAATTGAGGCCCTAAATGGTTTTTTGATGGCCCTCCCTGATATGATTTTCCAGTCTCGTGTTCACGATCGAATGATTGTGTTAATTTCCAATTTGGAAATTTTTATCAGCTCCTTAACTTCACTTCACTCCTGGCCTTTAATGTTCTTCTGGTGCAGCCCGCAGTCGTAGCACTCCATCAAACTCCACCCCCCTCCACTTCTAATTTCATGCACTGCATAAACATCTGTGTATACTTTAATTTTTTTCTCCCACGATTTATATCCTGTACGTCTGAAATATAATGTGAATCCGCTGGCAGTTAGCATGAATCACCTTAAAGTTCTGTGAGGTGAAAACGCATCCAGCAGTTACGGGTGTTTAACTCGCTTGTCAGCTTTTAGTTGAAGATGTGCGCTGAGATAGATTGTGGCAAAAAAAAATTGCACGCTTTCAGAGTTTTTGCACATTTGGGGATAATTATAAGTTCTCAGTAAGCTAAAATCGGAGCAGTAAATTTCAAAGTAGATGAAGTTGATGTTTTTGCTTCGGAGGATAATTATAATTGAAGAATTTTTGCTTTATTAAAAACTGCGACTTAACCTCTAAATGTAAAGAATCCACTTATGCAGACATGTAAACAGCGCCATGCAACAGTCATGCCAAACTGTATCGTATTATGAGTTAATGACACTTCAGCCAGCAATCCATTGATCCACCTATGAACAATCACTTGATGAAAGTAGGGACAAGAAACTCCCTTTTTCTCAGGAAGAGACCTCTAGCAGGCAGCTGTTTGGCCTTTAAAAACAAAAAACAAAAAAAAAAACAGAATTTTTTTTTCACTCAGACACCCTGAAATCATTGGCTAATAATTTGTAAAAATTTGTTAATTTATTATTTTTAACTACATAAATAATACAATTCTGTAATAGTTACATTCTGATTATATAACAAGCTATTAATGATTAATAAATGTCACCATTACTTTCCTAATTTTCTTAGCTCACCTATAAAACCACAGATTCAGTCAACCCTGATCTGAACAGCCTTCCCCAGCCTAATGTGAACCTAGACTACAAACAAAACCAAACAATGAGTAAGACAGGAAATGATGTTTAACCATCTATAAACACAAACTATTAAGTAGCAAATAATATTGTCATTTCGTGGTTTGTTAAAAGTAGAAAAACTGATGTAAATCTGTGTTGCAATGGTTATTGTAGACATGCCAGTAATCAGATTATGTATGGGTCTCAGTAAGAAACTTAGTTAAACATTTTACTAATAACTAATAGCAGTAATAACTTGGCGGATTGTAATAATAACTAGACTAATGTAGGGGGTCCAAAATGAATGTAATGTACTTGTCTGCCAAACTAAGTGAAAAATCAAGAATGAATTGGTCCTGGAGAGATACAAAGGTAACTACCAATTTATCGTTTATTACCAATGTTTATTATAAAATGTTAGACTTTTTTCTTTTACATACAGAGAAACTACAGCTCAAATGGGTCAGCCCCGTTTGGAGAAAAATAATCTGTCACGTCTCGGTGTCCAATTTTCTCTTGGACTTCCTCTGCTAGAAAAACCTTGTGATGCAAGTAGAGTTATAAAAAAAGAACTGAGCCATTCAGCCAATAACAGATGATATCATGTACTCTGATGCTTTGCGGTGTTCAGTCCCAGGTCGTGGGTGTTGTGTTGTGCTCTCTGAAGCGAGGATGACAGGCTCAGACTGTGGCTGATTTGATCAGATGTCAGCAGCCAGCACTTTCACCTGATCTACCAGCTGGGTGTAAACGTGAGCAGATGGGCCGGCCGACTGAGCCGCTGTCCCAATCCTCATATTACAATGCTGTTGCTGCTCCCCTCCGGAGTCCAGTCAATGGCCAAAGACTCCTATTCAAGCACCGTGGCTCCTTCTACAAAGCCGGTTATCTTGATTTGTAAATGAGCTGGATTGTTTAAGTGCTAATCCTCCAGATGAGATTGAGGTGATGTCTTACTCATTTTGATTCCTTTCCCTAGGTGGCGCTCTTGTTTTTTTTTAGCCTGTCCTCTAATTATCGACACTGACAAACTCCACTGTTTGCTTATATTAGATGTACATTTGGCAATTAACAACAAGCCGAGCCGCAGTCAGATTAACATAAAGAGTAATGTTCTGATAGGTAAACATGTGCTGCTCCGTTCTGTCTGCTATGTTTACAAGCGTTAATACTCCTCCTCCTCTTAAGCAATTAGCTGAAATATGACTAATTAGAGGTTATACATATGCAAACATCCAGTCCAATCCAGTCGGGCCCCCGCCCACAAACAGCAGTGGTGGCATTCACACAGACAACAAGCCATGAAGGAGAGACGGAGCGTTTTCGCCAGTGCCATTCACAATTATGAGCGCGGAGCAATTGTGTCTTATTAGCAGTGGTGGCGAGACTAAACTTTACCGGGCAGGGGTCCTCAGGGAGGGGGAAGTAAGAGGAAGGTGGTGGCGGTGGCGATGGAGGTGGGGGCGGAGGTAGCGAAGCAGCTGTTGCTGTTTGTTTATGCAACTCAGCAACATACGAGCGGTGGGGTCCCTCTCCGGCGCTTGGCGGGGCCTCGACTCTCCCTGCTTGATCTTTGAAGGTTGGGGCTGTTTGAACAATTCCTCCCAGTCCTCCCAGTGTCCTGCGCGCCACCATCTGTCTCCCCAGGAATGTGGGTAGAGTCAGCACACACCCCAGCATTTGTCAAGGCTGAACTGGGAGGAGGGAGTCGCTCTGCTTTTCCCCCTAGCAAGCTCAGAGAAAATGTGTCTCTCTCTCTTTTTTTCTTTTATCCATATTTACTAACCATTTAACATCCCTACCTCCCACTTGGAATTAATTGTTTTGTGAGTGACGAGCCAGGTTTACACACCCCGTGTTGTTGTTGCTGAGTATTATTATATTTTAATTTTTCTTTCCCTTTTTTTAAGAGAGGAAGGCTCTGTTTGAATTGCAAATGTGATGGATTGCAACTGATGTTTACCTTTTTTTTGAACAGCAAAATCAAGGCCGGGCCCATGTGCTGGCTTCTTTATCCCAAGATTATTAAAGAGACATTTGAGGGTTTTTTGTTTTTTTTTTTTTGGGGGGGGGACCTAATTACTGCAACACATTTGCAGAGGGGAGGAAAGAAAAAAAAGTGAAATTCAGAGATGGTGTGAATACAGGTATGCTGGCGAGAGAGAGCTCACAGATGATTCTGAATACATTTTGGACTGATTAGACCCCAAATTAATGAAAAGTAGATCACATCGGCACCTCTAATGAAGGAGAAACGCTCTAAAAAAGACTCTTTTCATTTATTCTATTTTCTGGGCTGCCAAATTCTAAAGGCAGGCCTCCTTTGGCTGTGCAGCCAGGAAATTAAAAGGTATGTGATTCTCTCTGTTATCGCCGCCGCTGCCTGTAGTTGCTCAATGGAGGTGGGAGTAGAAAGCCAAGATGCTTCGTTTGCGACAGGAGCCATTTGGCTTGTAGCGTGAACTGAACTCTTACCCCCTCTATGTTTGTACATTTTTCTTTTTTTTAAATCTCTTTCTCTCTCTCTCGCTCTTTTTTTTTCTCTCTCTCACAGCACCAACTGCTCAACCAAGCGGCCGGCAACCGCAAGTTCAAATGCACCGAGTGCGGCAAGGCCTTCAAATACAAGCACCATCTGAAGGAACACCTCCGGATTCATAGCGGTGAGTTGCAGGAAGAACGCTGCCCTGCTCTTTGAAAGTTTGTGGCGAGACGAGGTTGGGATATAAAGTAAATACTCTTCAGTTTTAAAGAACGACAACGCCACCCTGGGAATTTCACCCAGAGAATACTGGAAATGACACTAAATCACCAAAAAGGCACTTAGGTTCGCTATACTCAATCCAGAGACGAGGTTCAATAATAAACAAATTGACAATTTATTGGTAATTATTTAAAACACCGAATAAAAACATAATCATAAATATTCAAATACAAATATGCTTAAAAAGGTATTCAGAGCTGAGGCTTACCAGTGGAGGGGCAGGGATGCCACACACAACTAAAGAAAGAAAACACACCAAAACACAAGTGCAACACACTATCACACACACACTAATAAACTAGACAAGGCAGGTGTGTACACTCAAGGGATCCCACCACCAAGGCACCCTAGTCTCCTCCACATCGGCACTCCGCATCTGAATAAAAGAAACAAAGAAAATGTCAATATATTACAACAAACTAATGTGTAGCACCGGGGGATAACCCAACTGCAGGACCACACTGGTGATCTACAGCTAGAAAAAGGGCCTCCCACCAGTGGTGTAACAGAAAATCCAAACTACAAATCAAAAAGCAATAAAACAACATACAATCTGAATAAAACTCTAAAATCTGGAGCAAACGGAATCGCCGTACTGCTCCAACTTGCCGTCCACGCGACGATAAGTTAACAGTCAATCAATATGCACGCCAGCTGACTCCGATAACCGGCATGCATATGGCCGTTGTCCACGCCGACGTCCACTGTAAAAGCTGACAGCAGCAGGGAAAGAATTCTCACAACGGGAACAGACGGTAAAAGCACAGCAAGGCAAAACAGCAGCACTTCAGTTCGCGTAGCTTGGCGCAAAACTAAGGCCCACACTTCCTGCGAAACATAATAAATAATTACTATAAAAGAACAATAGAAGGCAGAGAGCGTAACAAAAGTTGATTACGTACCAAGTAAGCCGGGTCACAGAACGTAAGCAGAATAGCTCAGAGGAGGCTTCTATAGCTACGACCAGCCGCGATGGAGGCTTCAGAAGAATAACCCGCAAATGATCTCCACCACACCGAGGGGAAGTCAGGTGACCAAAAAGGAGATCACAGGCAAGCGACGCAGAGACACTCAAATGGCCACTATTTATACCAGCGCCCCCTAATGGGCCAGGCTGAAAGTGGGTTGGACCGAAGGATAACATTCATCCTGCCACATTCTCATAACGGTGATTTAAGGATCCACAGATATTCCTTTTGGTTTATTTTGGACACTCGTCGGCTGTTAATGGACACTGAAGTCCTCGGGGTGTGCAATATTTGCTTATGTGTGTGAAGCTTTTAAATTGAATTGAATTTATTTGTTTACTTGTTGCAAACTTTCCTTTTTATCAGCCTTAAACAAAGAGTATTTTGTTGCAGAGTTCAGATGTGTACATTAAACTTACTTCAAAACTTCATGTACTGTGGAGCTGTTATTCTGGTAATACAAGCATGAAACAAATAGTATCCTTACCTAGGAAGCCCTATTGCTCAACTATAATTTATTATTTTATATAATTTAATTTAATTTTAATGCAGTTTTTTCAGATTATATTGACTTTAGGTTCAAAGCAAAACATGAAGAATTAAATAACTTTTACATTTTCTTAACAGTGCCCCAACTCTTAAGGAATTTGTTTTTTCAATTAATTCCTACAGTTTATTGGATGGGAGCCTTTTTCCCTACAAATAAAATCAAATAAAAATAATTTCATGTCCATCACACTTGTTTGAACATGCTTAAAATGTCCAAAACAAAAGTAGTCAGTGAGGTTTCCATGCCTTTGTGTTTAGTGTCTTTGTGTGCTCACTGAGCTGAGCAGAAAATGTTAAAGCTAATAAATGTTAAAGAATGGTTTACTTTCACTCAAAACATGTAAGTACAAAAAAAGAGCAAAGATCTCTAAACCAATTCAGTTTGGCAGAAAATAAAGAAAACGCAGACACTATACTGGAAGATTACCGGCTCTAGCGCATATCGCACATCTTGGCACAATTCAGTTAATTTCAATTCTGTTTTATTTACATAGCACCAGTTCACAGCAACAGCCACCTCAAGGCATTTTATATTGTAAAGTATAGACCGTAAAATAATATGAGAGAAAAAGCAAAATTGCATGACCCCCCTTTGAGCCAATTGGTTGTTTACTGGTCTTGGCTAACCATCTATATTTCTTGTTTCAGGTGAAAAACCTTATGAGTGCCCCAACTGCAAGAAGCGCTTCTCTCACTCGGGCTCCTACAGTTCCCACATCAGCAGCAAAAAGTGTATTGGCTTGATTGCAGTCAATGGCAGGATGCGCAGCAACATGAAGACAGGCTCCTCCCCTACCTCTGCCTCCGCCTCCCCCACTAACACTGCCATCACCCAGCTGCGACAAAAGCTTGAGAACGGAAAGCCACTCAGCCTCGCCGAGCACAACAACCACCTGAACATCAAGACGGAGCCGCTGGACTTCGACTACAAGCTGATGATGGCTTCTCATGGATTTGCCGCTCCTGGGCCTTTCATGAATGGAGGAGTGGGGGGAAACAGCCCACTTGGGATCCACCACAGCTCGGCCCAGAGCCCCTTGCAGCATCTTGGGATGGCCGGACTTGAAGCACAGCTCCTGAGCTACCCGGGTCCACTGGGGAATAACCTGAGCGAAGTACAGAAGGTTCTCCAGATCGTGGACAACACTGTGTGCAGGCAGAAAATGGACTGCAAGCCAGAAGAGCTCTCCAAGCTCAAAGCCCACATGAAGGAGCTGGGATCCCAGATAGAGGAGCAGAAACAAGCGCTGACAACGGCTCAGGTCGGTCTTCCACTTGTCAATCACAACGGCGCCACCAAAAGCATCATCGACTACACATTAGAAAAAGTGAACGAAGCCAAAGCCTGCCTCCAGAGCTTGACTACAGACTCAAAGAGACAGATTAGCAATATCAAACGAGAGAAACCCAACCACATGCTTGAAGGAGGTGTGGATGAGAAGGTGCAGGAAAACAACATGTTTACACCTTACGCTTGCCAATACTGCAAAGAAACCTTCCCCGGGCCAATACCTTTGCATCAGCACGAACGCTACCTGTGTAAAATGAACGAGGAGATCAAAGCTGTGCTGCAGCCCAGTGAGAATTTGATGCCCAATAAACCAGGGATATTCATGGAGAAGAACACTCACTTACCCTCCTCCGTGTTGTCTGAGAAGGTACTCACTGGGCCTCTTAACCCTTACAGGGACCACATGTCTGTGTTGAAGGCATACTCTGCCATGAACATGGAGCCCAACTCGGAGGAGCTGCTCAAGATTTCCATAGCGGTCGGTCTTCCTCAGGAATTTGTCAAGGAGTGGTTTGAGCAGCGAAAGATGTACGAGTACGGCACTAACAGGACCCCACCACTAGAGCACAGGAACAACATGGATATGGTTGTCGGAACAAATAACCACCACACTCCACCAAAAGACTCTTTGGCAGCTAGGTCGCCACTGTCTCTAATCAAGCCTACTGACCGCATCACATCACCCTCCATAGCAGAGCTCCATAACAACGTGAACAACTGTGACAACTCGCTCAGACATTTGAAAAACCACCAGTTCAGCGGCAGCCAAACCAAACCCACAGGTGAAAAGTTGGACCACTCCCGCAGCAACACCCCTTCCCCGCTAAATCTGTCCTCCACTTCTTCCAAAAACTCTCACAGCAGCTCCTACACTCCAAACAGCTTGACTTCAGAAGACCTGCAGGCTGAGCCGCTGGACCTGTCTCTGCCGAGACTCATGAAGGAACCCAAGCATGCACTGACTGTCAAAAGCAGACCTAAAGTCAACAGTATTACCATTGACCATAACAGCATCCCTTCTCCCCGAGAGCACTTCGAAGAGCCTTTGAACTTGGCCTATCTCAAAAAGGATTTCTCAGGCTCTACCAACAATGGAAACTTAGAAAAAAGCACTAGCCCCATCTTCGGCATTAACCCGTTTGCGGCCAAACCCTTGTACACGTCGCTTCCACCTCAGAGCGCTTTCCCACCCGCCACATTCATGCCCCCGATGCAGGCCAGCATACCAGGTCTTAGGCCCTATCCGGGCATGGATCAAATGGGCTTCCTACCACACATGGCCTACACTTATGCAGCAGGGGCAGCTACCCTTGCCGAGATGCAGCAGAGGAGAAAGTACCAGCGGAAACCAGGTTTCCAGGTAAATAAGCCACCTGTGGTTTTGTGAAAGCCCCAGGCTCACTCAGATTCTCTGAAATGATCTGAACTCATTTCTGTACTAATTAAAAAACCACTCAGGAGTTAGGAGAGTGAAACGCTCACCTGAGGTAGACTGAACTGGCATAGGCGATGGAGATAAACAGCTGTGACACAACCCCGGGGTGGAAAAAGTGAGGCGTCATTAGTGGGAGGAAAGGAGGGCCTGTGCAGCCTGTGTTCAGCTGTTTTAGCAGTAATATCATTCAGTGATGAAAAAGAAAAAGCTTTGAGGATTGCTTCTACTTCCTTGACTTCATTTTAACTGGATTATCTCATCCCGTCTTAATGAGCCTCCAGCCCTTCTACCAGAGTTTCATTTGCAGATTTATGAATGTTAGTGGTGTTTTAATTTTTACCCTCAAAAAAACACTGGCACAAAATATCAAACAGCATCAGGTTAAAATATATGACAGGACCCATATTGGCCCTAAAGTTTAATCTCGTTAAAGCTCTAATTGTTACCACTCTGCACAGTAAATTTTACCCGCTGGAGTACATTAATGCTCTCGACTCCAGTCCTCCTCCAGAGCTGGCCTGAACTCACATATTTTGTTATTAAATATGGGTGAAAGGCCTTTGTAAAAATGACAAAGGTGAGCCCCGGAGCTGTGCACTTCTCTGAAATTTCCCATTGCAACTTTGCTGCATTTTAAAGAGAGCCAAAGCCAAAATGAGCTTCTACATGTGGATTAATAATGCACAGTCTCCATGTTCATTACCAGTGAATGCTGAAGGCTGTTTAACATAGAGGGAGCCATTTTGATGAAAAAAAGTATTAATAATGTTTCCTATTCTAAGTTATTAAATTAGATTTTAAAAATACAGCTACAGGCGTTTAGTTCAAATTGATTGCAGAGTGATAGTGGTCCCTTCTTAAAACACAGTGCAGTGCTGTCCCCACATTATCACACACATATTCATTAAGGAAAGCTTCAGTGGCTCAATATTGGCCATTAAGGTGCACCTTCTGATTTTAATCATTATATGAGTTTGCAATGTCAAGAATGGCTCACTGTGCCTCCTCTAATGTTATAATATTGTTCTCCATCAATTCATATTTAAGACTAATCTTCATCATAAAAGAGAATTTTAAAGGAATGTGCAGAATTAACGCTCGTGTACAAAATTAGACCACACTGAATACACCATTATAGCGGTGTTTCATAATGAGGAGACTGTCAGTTATAGATGGGTGATATTACTGCAGAGCTGAAAGTTTTATAAGAAATAAACGCCGGTATGTGCTGGTAATCAAAAATGCATGAGAACATGTAGCGTTGTGTGATTGTTTGGGAGGAACGCTTCAGTGTAATGATCCTATGTGGACAAATGGTGTCTGGCTAGATATTTTTATGATCTTTCACCAGCTATTGTTTAAAGAAAAGAGGATATTCACAACTAAATAACTTCCTTTTTTTGCGTTGATCTTCTGGACTTTCCTTTAAAATTTAACAGTTAGTTTAGAAATTAGCATGCTATCAGTAACTTTATATTAATGTAATATGAAGCAGTTATGACCTAAACTCACAAAAATCAGCTAATAATGTAAATCAATGTAATTTAAAATAATATAAGTATCAAGTATGAGCTTTTCCACCAACGTAGATTGAGCTACAAAGTGTTTGTAGTTTTGCTAAATGACACTCTCAAAGCATACTAATTAGCTAACAAACACTTAGCTGTTAATATAGCAATTAGCATGACACCTAATTGCTAACTTTTTGTCAAACTTCATACAATTTTTCAAGATATATCATAGCAAACCTAAATATAAGAAATTGCAACTAAAATTATAAACATTAGCTTTCTCTCAAATTAGTATTAGGAGTTAATAAACCGGCACATGAACACAGGCACCTTATTTTTCCTTAATTTAGTTATAATTAACTGTCACCTTAAAAGATTATATAGCTTGAAAATGTAACTACTAGTACAAGGTTGTTTTTCTAGCAAGACAAAGTTAGCAGGAAAAATAAACTTTAGCATTTCTAACATACATATTCTAAAAAAATAAACAACTAATAAACTTTTTTCACATTTAAAAAAGTATACACTGCTTATAAAGAGCTTATAGGTTTTATAGCTTTATAGATAAAATAAACTCCACTTTTCATTAAAACCAGATAGTGGTTAACAAATATTAGCTTTTTTGCTACAGCGGCTTAAGGTAAATACCCTTCTAAAGGGGTTAAAAACTCCCAACAGCTCAGAAAATATTTATTGTGTTTGCTAAAAAAAAATTTGTCACACCTTTTGAGATTATAACACGAACGCTCTTTGAGCAATGTGTAGCATTTTGATATTTACTCTTAATTTACAGTTAGCTTAGCAATTTACTCTTCAGAAAAGGGTGTCTTCTGGTTAAACATAACTATAAATAAATAAATTTTTGTTTGAGTCACATTAAGAACATAAACTCATAATTTAAGTAAAAATTTAAAGGGATTACATGTGGAATAATGTCAGCAACAGATATTAGCAACATTTACATGAAGCTAGCTTAAGCTAGAGTCATGTTATTTGCCACACACACAGTGACCACCTCACTGTTTTCTCACTTTTAAAAGAATATACAACATCTCATCATCACACTAAATTCATTATTGTGTTATCCTTTCTCCCTATTTTTTGTTTGTGATTTTTTTTCTTTTTAGGGGGACCTGCTCGACGGTACACCAGATTACATGTCAGGGCTGGACGACATGACAGACCCCGACTCCTGTCTGTCGCGGAAGAAGATTAAGAAGACCGAAAGTGGTATGTACGCGTGTGACTTGTGCGACAAAACATTCCAGAAGAGCAGTTCCCTTCTAAGACACAAATATGAACACACAGGTATATACTGTTCTAGACCCTTATTTTAAACCCCATGCTTTTTTTATGTTTTAAATGTTTGTGTTGCCAAATCCTATCAGTATGAATATATTTTAATATATATAAATATTTTTTTATGTTATCCCCCTTTTCCCTCCTTCTTTCCTTCTCTGTTTAACCCTTAAGTTGTATATATGTAAACCCACACCTAACTTGCTTCTTCATTGACAGGGTTGAAATCCAGCGAATGAGTAAAGGCTTTGTGTGTTCTTTTTCTGTAATTTTGCAGGTATAGGCAGGATTGTACCATTTATTTCCCAATCATGTCTTCCTGTATGAACCACTTTGCTATCTTTAAAGACACACATCAATTCACCTAGATATGTAAAGCCAGCAAAAGGCCCCCTAATGCCTTTATCGGCCCTATTATTGACGATAGATCACATCAGCGGAGTAGTGCTTAGAAGCTTCAGAGCACCGATAACAAGTCTTTCATTATAGTTATTATACAGAGATCCTCTTTCACCAAGTTGCATCATTTATTTTATCCACTATCTGTAGAGAAGCGCTCTGTGCTTTACGCAGCCTTCGTGTTATCTGGTTGGACATAAAAGGGAGGGAGGCTCCACCGTCAGATCTCCTCTTCATTTAAAAGAGAAAATATGGGGTGGGGCGCGGGGATGCGTTATCTCCACTCCTGATGCGTCGCTGTGTGTTTTTAACAATATCGTGCCAGATGTTGGACCTGGAGTGCAGTTTCGGAGCTGTCAGAGGGGGGAGTCATGTGATTTGTGCGAGGCAGGAAGCCATATTTCCACACGTGGTGAGCAGCAGTTAGGGAAATGCCAAAATTAGAGGCTTCTTTGTAGCTTTTTAAAAAGAATCCAGGTATATTTTAGGTGAAGGAGTGTGGGGAAAAAGTGCCATTTAGCCAGCCATAAAACTATCTCACCCTGCACTCTTGGACAGCTCGGGTTTCTCATTTTGAGCCTTGGCATCTGAGCCGCGCCGTCATATTTGGTAGGGAAGGAGCTCCAGCTCAAAACCTAATATAGTCCCAGGCCTCGCCATGAACTCGAATTGCAATTGGAGATGAGCAGGGTTACCCCTCGGAGCCTTCCCCGCCCCACAGCCCCATCTCGGGTTTGTTTACCCCTTTGTCGCCTTCTCTGTTTGTTTGCTTTTGCAGTAGTTTATTTATGTTGCATTCATCAGTGTGGCACGCAGGGCCTAAAATAAGTAGTTGCGGTTGAGTTTCTTCATGCTTCAACCACAGGAGGGGAATTTCCATAATGTAGGCCTGTGAATGCGAGCACGCTTTTCTCATCGTGCTCCCAATTTGAATAAACAAATAGCCCAAAGTCGTAAGTTGGATTTAATGCTCGGTGATGTCATTTTTACTCCATGCCATCCAGTTCATCAGAGTTTTTCCTCAATATTTTGCTTTGATTCTGACTTGTGTGTGTGTGTGTGTGTGTGTGTGTGTGATTTGCTGTGGCTGCAGGACGCCTCTCACGTCCCTTTCGTTTTTTCTCTGCTTTGTGTCTCCGCAGGCAAGAGGCCGCACCAGTGCCAGATCTGCAAGAAAGCCTTCAAACACAAACACCATCTCATCGAGCACTCCAGACTGCACTCGGGGGAGAAACCTTACCAATGCGACAAGTGCGGGAAGAGGTTCTCGCACTCGGGCTCATACTCGCAGCACATGAACCACCGCTACTCCTACTGCAAGCGTGAGGCCGAGGAGCGGGAGGCCGCAGAGAGGGAGGCCCGCGAGAAGGGCCACCTGGAGCCCACCGAGCTGCTCATGAGCAGGGCGTACTTGCAGGGCATGACTCCTCAGGGTTACCCAGAGCTGGCGGAGCGAGAGGCTATTCTGAGGCATGACGTGGTGAACGGAGGGATCAGAGATGCAGGGCGAAAGGAAGTGGATGGAACGTATGCAAAGATTGGACGGAGGGACGACGAGTTTGAGGAGGAGGAGGAGGAGAGCAAGAGCATGGACACGGACCCGGACACGTTGAGGGACGAGGAGGAGAACGGAGAGCACTCGATGGACGATAGCTCGCTGGACGGCAAAACGGAAACCAAATCGGATCACGAGGACGCGATGGAGGATGGCGTGTAATCGGCGGCGACACTTCAGAAGCTTCCCATCTTTAGAAGTTTAAAAAAAGAAAAACTAATGAAAAAAAAAACAAAAGAAAAGAAAAGAAAAAAAGTTTTTAAGTTTCTCTCTTTTCGGTTCAAGTATTCTTACCTGCTCGGTTTAAAACGCCGTGTTTTAAGCTGTACGTGCACGTGCCTGAAGCTTCCGGGAAGCTTGACGGACTCCTCAACGTGGACTCAAATATCAATCCGGAAGAGGAGGAGGAGGAGGAAGAAGGAGGCATTGAAGGGGGAAGGGGGAGGCTTGGGTTTGTGAAATAAGCTGCATTATGCAAACCGAACAATGAATAAATGAATACATTTCAAAAAATGTACAGTACTAAGGCCTAAAAATATGTGTGGTGCTAACCTCCTCAAATAAAAACCCCTGTGTTCCATAGTATTTATAGCACAACTAGTGACTTGTACAAATTGCACTCCGCTTCTATAATCATGAACAAAAATAATAAAAAGTATTGCCTATGTATATATTTATACAGTGTTGGAAAAAGAGCAGTAGTATCTGCACTACTACAGTCCTTCAGTATTACCTTTGTTATCACCAACCTACCTACGGTGTCGTCTTTAGTTTTCATCTCCAGCCACACTGTTTTAGGCCTCTTGAATCAAATGAAGGAATTAAAATTCAAAGACTGTGTGAAGGAGCTTTCCCCCCCCCGTTTATTTTTTTGTTTGTTTCTTTATTTTAAGGGAAAATACAGTTTTACGGACAGATGTTGTTTTTTGGGGAGGGTCAAAAAAAAAAATGAAGGACGAAGCCTTTGTAAGGTGTTTTTGATAAGAAAAAAGAAGCCTTATATGCAAACCTTTTAACCTGTGTGTTTTCTGCAAGTGCCACCCTCGTATTGTGTAAAAGGAAGGTTACTTTTTTTCACCAGCTTCAGTATTGATGAAATGGTTCACCGTTGTTCTTTGAAGCACCCGTGTCAGTATTATAGGCAGCAGTTCCTTAGTTTACATTATGTTGTGCAATGTTTTCTCACCTCTTTTCTTTGTCAGTATTACACCAAACCATTTTTTCTTCTTTTTTTTTTTGAAAACAACAAATTGCATTTCATTTATTTGTAGGTTGAAAAGAAAACATTATTTATGTGGCCCATTTTATATTTCCTAATTTTATTTATTTCATACTGTTGTGTACAGTACTATAGTTCTTCAATATATAGATATATTTTAGTAAAAAGGAACATGGTGTCGATCATAGGGGCAAATTTTACGTAAAGAGAGCATTTATTGTGTTTTGAAACATTGTGAAATGCGAAGTTTAATCTTATTTTATTTTTATTTTTTTTTCCTTTATTTTCCAGCTACTGGAAAATTCCAAATTTGGGAACTTTTATACAATTGTGAAAACACTGTATTTTCGACTGAAAAATTCCACTTTCTTCATCTTTGTTTCTTTTTTTAAGCTAAAAAAAATGAAGAGGGACTGTTAAATACTATGTATGATATCATGACTGAAGAAGAATCTTTCCTGAAATGTCTTTGTAAAAGTATTATTGAATTCTTAATTTGTAATTTCTCTTGAAAATGACCCTGCTCGAATAAAAGTAGCCAAATTACAGAGTACCAAACCCTCGGGGCTTCGTGTTTGTTCACAAACGGTGAGGTGTGCTTGGCTTCGTCACAATGAACTCTTTCTTTTCAGATGGATTAAAGTCAACTGAGCCCAGCCCTCCTGCTGATTATCACTATTTTAAGATGAGAAAACAACATAAATGCCACGACCAAAGTTTTAAACAATAAAGCCAAAAATATTCTGTATTAGTTTCTTAGTAAATCACATTAAATGACTAAAACTTGGATTCCAGTCACTGGAATGTGTGAATGTGAATCAATCTGCCAATGAAAATAGTCTCATCCTGTTTTTACTGAATTTGCTGAAATGTGCTGTGTCCAGCTGTTCTGGAAGTGTTCTTTTACAGGTTAAAAAATGCTGTACATATAAAACAAATTATTAATTTAGACAAGAAAACACAAAGTGAAGCTTTTTAAAACCTCTAAAAAATATTAAAATCATATTTGGAAGCTTTTCTTTTGAAACAAATGACATTTTAACGCTTTAATTAAAGCATCTTGAGCAAATTGCTGTAAGCAGATAACATACTTATGTAGCTGTCAGCAGGTTTAAGAATCAAAATGATTTGCTTTGTTTCACTGAGTTACTCCCGCTGATTGGAGGACCAAATGTACACCAGAGCAAACCTACGACTACTACTTATTTAAAGGCTGGTTTAAGGCAAGAAAACACAAGGCGAAGACACATTTAAAGGTTTTTAAAGCATATTTGAAGCTTTTATTTTGACGCATGACAATTTTGATAAACTCCTTGTTGTTTCACTGAATTGATCCGACTAACTGAAGGATCTAACATGCACCGATCCAACTTATCCCTGATAATTCTAAATAAATACACCACCTCCGCTTAATAACTGATTAAAAGCTACTACAAGAAAACTCAAGACACATTTAAAGGATTTAAAACCCTTAAAGGTTTTATTTAAAGCTCGTTTTGAAGTATGAGATTGTATGATAATATTTAATAGTTCATAATAAACCCCCCTCTTCCTCCCGTTATAGTGAAGCAGCTGAGAAGCTACAGTGATGACAGTAATAAAAATGCTGCATGTATCATTCAATATCAACACTGATTATTGAAAAAGCACGAATAGTTTAAATAAAAACACATTTGGAAGTTTTTGTATTAAAGTATTAAAATATGGTGTTTATTGAGCCTTTAACTATATTCTTTATATTGCTTTCAGCTAGAATAGATGTGTGATTTAAAGGCATCTTTTGCTGTTTCTCCACATTTTTGAAGTAAAGGGTAGTTCTATATATTCTATATGTGATTTTCAATTAAAAACCAATATTAAAAAAAAACAAGCAAATGCAACTGCATTCCCAGATTACTTTAAAGGCTTCACAAAACTGTCAAAATCAGTGAAATAACACTAGATAAAAAGAGCAGAAGCTTTTAAATGTAAAGAAACTTTTTTGTGATTTTTATTTTGAAGTATGACAACATAACATTAAAGCACCTTCAGCTGATCTGAGTTGCTGAAAGTACATTTAGGGAAGAAAGTATCATCTTTAGGTTAGGTTCAACTATCTGAGATCCTGGGACCTGCGATTTTTATGGTTTTGTGAGGATTATTTCAAATATAAAATGTTAGGAGCTGATGACTAAAATTTTCTGCTGCTTTTGTTCTACCAGCATTAAACAATAAATGTCATTCAGATTTAAAAGTGTCACATTGGACATGAAACATGTGACCTCGATTTTTTATAAAGTTTCACAGTGAAACATCTCTAAAAATTGAACATTTTTATAACAGCTAGTGAAAAAAAAGGAACTTTCTGCCTTTTAATTGTTTATCTATCAATTGTTTACTTCAGTGTAGTCTGAATGGACATGAAGGAAGTGTTTATAAGAAGATAAAAGTTGTAAAACCTTAGAAAATAGAGTAAAAATTTAAAATTTATCCCATTTTCCAAAGCCTTTGCTGGGCTGACTCTGGCCCCCAGGCCTTATTTTTGACACCTGGGGTTTAAACCCTATCAAACTGATAATATCCAACAGAAAGACCAAAAAACTACTAATAATGAAATTCACTGCCTACAGAATAACACATGTATTAATCTGCTACTGAAAATAGTACTTATAAATAGTCCAAATGCACTACTTCATTTTGATTAAGTGTAAACTACAGTGATCAGCTGTTTTGGTAAATTACTAAACTTTTTCTTTGATGAAACTGTGTGTTTTTACCTGACTTATTCAATTAATATTTATTTGTCTGCACAAGACAGCATTTATTTTTAATGGAGACAATGGACGGGGTTAATCAGAAGCTCTTTTAAAGCTTCTTGAATGTGTGTGAGTATATAAAAGTTGTGAAATTACATAATCTTCTATTAATTATACGTTCTTGATTGTCAAAACTTGAGCAATCCTGCAATCTGCTTGAACAATTAAAGTACAAGTTTGTGAAATCGTGTGTCCAAATCAGAGCTGCCAACAAATTTTAACTGTCTTAATGTGGTTCGTTAGCCGAGGGTTCATTGCAGGGTGGTCTTCCTTGTCACCTAATAAGTGAAAGATCCTGGTTTGATCCAGGAAGAGAGATGCAAATCCCTTTGGGACTGCGTCTGGAATGATATCTCGTGTTAAAAAAATTTACATTTAAAAACCTGCCAAATCAAATGTGTGGAGCTACCATTTTCCAACTAGGTTATTTCGTGTCTAGCATAAGAAATGGCTTTACCTTTTCAGGCACATTACAAAGATCTGTAAACAAGGATTGACTCAATTTCTCCTTTCAAAATAAAGCTACCAATTTCAAATTAAAGCATTTGCAAGTATCTATTCAACATTATAATTAAATATAACAAAAACAAACACTGCAATTATGGTTCAAGGATGCCAGATGTAAGCATTTGTTTCTTTTCTATCATGACATTAAAGATTTCTTGGGTTTGGACTTGTGGCGAGACTGAAGAAGACATCTGAAGGTTTCATGTTGAACCCGTGACCTGCATTTTTTCACCGTTTTCTGACATTTTTTTTCTCCCCTAACCAAAAATCAGCTCCTCATTTCCTGAATCTCTTTTTTTGAAACTTCCCTCTGCCCTGACAGGTGGACTCCATCGGAGGAGTCCTCTCCAGTGGAGAAGACGCTCGCTTCTATCATCCACTCACGCGGCGTTATGCAGATTAAAAGCAACATCAAAAGGCAAAGATAAAAGCGCCAAAGGTTGAGCGATGCCAAACATCAGAACGCGCTTTGCATATCTCGATTTTCCTATCGATCGGCACGCCATCGGATCATGCGCGGACCTTCTCACAGATAAAAGAGGGGGTCTTAAATGATTAGCTGATGAATTTGATAATGTGCCGTGAACCGCCTGGACAATTACGCATGCGGAAAAATGAGCGGGTGAGGAGGGAATCCTCTGGAGTATATCACTATCATTAAGGGAGAAATTTTCAACCTTCCTCTACTTCTGCATTTTACATCTATTAGACTTGCATACAAGACTGCGTTCGCCACTCTCTAACTTTACAAGCCACTAATGGGGAAGGTCAAAGGTCGAGATGGGAGTGATGAAACATTCCTGCAACCCTAAAGTAAAGGAGGCAGAGAGTGAATTGGAAACAGAGGAAAGAAATGACAGGATTTCAACTTATTAGATGGTGTAGAGGAAAATAAAACAGGGAAAAGGTGCAAAAGGCAGAAGATGAGTTTTCCACTTCTGTTTACATTAGAATCTGCTGATTTCTGAAGTGTGTCTGCCATCCAGCTCCTGCGCGTTTCTTCCTTCTGTATGAATTCCCGCTGTCACTCTTAAATATTGACTGACACTGATGTTGATCCAGTCTACTCTTACATTTACTGATCAATACTGTCTCATACTATTAGCCCTGGGCCCAGAGGAGGACAGCTTTTAATTGCAATCAAGCTGCATGATGGTGCCCTGAATTGATTTTTTTTCTGTCTGTGTGTTTCTGTATGTTTGTGTGTGTGTGTTTTCTATAAATATGTTTTGACAGAAAATTGAAATTTGCTCCTTTAAAATTTTTAAGCTGCACATCACACAGAAAAAAATACATAAAACAAATAAATCAAAAATAAGAGAGGAAAATAATTCCAGTAGCTGCAGTCCCTCTAGCAGCCACTAGAGGCTGGCTCCTACAGTGAGTCTCTCCACATAGACTCCCATGTTAAAAGGTCCAACTTTACAGCAGAAATAAACACAATTATATAGGGTTATGAAAACAGTTTTAATCTCTATACCTGAAGCCCAAATTTGTGAAAACTGCACAGGTTTTGAGTTTTTTAATAACTTACCCATTTCAATTGTTTCAGGACTTAAAATTATGCAGTAGTAGGGGTGTGACCGTGGATGCCAACCACAGACAGTAAGAAGTAGAAGGTGGGAATGAAGATGACTGGACTACAGCAGTGAGTTTGATACCATGAGATGTAAAGAGTAGACAACAGCTAGAAAAGCAGGCAGCCCAGTGAGATCTTCCTTATTGTACCTGCTTGGTTCTTTGCTAATATTTCAGTCATGTGTAGACACAACACTGGTTCATCAGCCTTTCTTATGCTTGAATTTTAGGTCAGTGTAAAATAGCTTAACAAACAAACAAAAACAAAACCATCCACACGAGGATGGTCAGGACTGGACTGAAAATGAGTAAAAAAGCAGAGAAAAACATTGAAAGACCTTCAGAGTTACGAATTATGAAGAGAGCCTAAAAATCCCAAAATAAGTCACTGAAGTCTGCTGCTTTAAATGCAGTTTTATCACCAACAAATATTCATTTTCACATCTTTCAGACTGATCTGTGAAAACCTTGAGCCTGTCTCTCTCTCTGGTGTTAAGAAGCTGAAAAAGCAGACCTGTCTGGCCGCTCTTCTCGGGCATCGGGGCAGCGATTTTGATCTGTTCTCATGTAAAACGGTGGTGGGAGCACTACCCGGCTCATAGAACATTTAAAAGGGAGGAAAAACAACAACACAAGCGTGTAGTAGTAATTCATACGAGTGTCATGCAGCCAT